ATAACCTGTCTCTGTGAGTTGTATGCTGTGATTCCTTCATTCCTTCGGGGACAAGAGTCATCCCTGTCTGCCAAACTGGCTGCCCGCTTCCTTGGCCTTGCTTGGAAACCCCCAAGATAGACATCTGCCTGTGTGTTCAAACTTTCACCCTGCAAATTCATTTGAGACTGCTATCCTGTTCTTTCAAAACAGCCTGGTTGAGTGAGGAAATTCCCCACCTGAATCCTGATGTCAATTTCTTTAGATTCCCTTTCCTTAATAGAGATACCAAACTAAATGATAAGGCCCAGCCCAAAAGAGTATAGATTACAGATTATGTATGTATGTATCTATATATAGAGAGATACATATATATATACACATATGTAGAGATGCATACGTACATACACATACATCCTTTAAACACAGGGACATAGACACATATGTACATGTACACAAATATATATATATACATTTAAATACATATACTTTTTCTTTCCTTTCTCATTTCCCTCCTTCTCTTTAGAGAGACCTGCTATCTTGTCTTTTTCACAGCCCCTGAGATGCTTTGCCTTATAAGCCCATAAATGGGTAGGCCCTTTCAGACTCCTCCAGGAGGAGCTATGCTGGCTGAGGAAGCAGATAACCCTGGGTTTGAGGAATGACAGAATTTTCCTTGATCTACTAGCCATTTGTTAAGGACTGTGCTACACACAGATCCAGGGTCTGTGTTTGCAAAGATCACTTGGGAAGACAGAGCCAGGGAGAGGCGCTGTCAGCATAGAATTTCCACAATAAAAATGACTCAAGGAGCAAATGCTCACATTGCTTTCTCCCTCCTCTGAACTCACATCACTTACAGTGTAAGCCACTTGGAATTTAATCACACACTGCATTGGGATATTAAAGCCCTCCACCCACCTCTTCAGCCTTATCATTCATTGCACACTTTTTTTGATCCCCCACAGCCTATATTTGAGTCACACTAAATTTTCTGCCATTTCCGAACAACCCACTTATCTCCACCTCATTTATTCGCTCATTTTGCAGCCTGCAACCTACCCCTCTCTACTTTCCGTCCCTCATCTCTTTCTCTCAAAGTCCTACCCATCCTTCAAGGCTTTACTATAATTCTCTCTCTTCCAGGAAATTTTCCCAGATGTCCACGTTGGCATTCACATGTCTAGGTCCTACCTTCCACTTCATTTTGTTTCTTCCTCTGTTGCAACTTCTGCCACATTTATTGGGTTTCCATGGACAGAGCATGTGCTCTTGAGTTATACTGGTGGTTCAAGTCTTATCTCTACCAATTACTCACATAGGGATCTTAATGAAGTGAGTTAACTTCTCTGCACTGTTTCTCACTGATGAAATGCCTAAACGTTTTCAAGTTTACTTGAGTACCAGATGAGATAATGAATGGAAATCACCTGGCTTAGGTGATCAACAAAAGACCAGTTTGTTCCTTCACCTTACCCCAAGAATGACTTTATCTATACAACTTCCATACTTGCTCCTACCCAAGTATTTTCCATAAGGGACCTGGTCTGTTTTCTCAGAAGGAAAGTAATTAAACCCAAACACCTATACCCAACCTCTCAAGTTATACAAAAATAGAATCAGAATTCTAAAAAGCATCTGGTACCATTACCTATCTTTAAACAAATCAGAGTGTCACCTGATAGCCACGGGTGTCTGCACATGGACCCAATGGAATCACTGGTCATTATATGGTGCCAAAAATCCAAGCCCACAAAACTGCTTTAGCAAAAGATTTTCCTCTCTAGTTTATATCCTTTCAATGTGCTAACTATACCTATGATCATGACAATACCGTCTTGGTTTATAAGTAAGGAATTCTTTTTTAAAAAAATTTTTAAAGATTTTCTTTGAGAGAGAGAGAGAGAGAGAAGGAGTGAGCACGAACAGTGGGGAGGGGCAGACAGAGAGGGAGAAGCAGACTCCCCACCAAACAGGGAACCCGGTGTGCAGACGCTTAACCGACTGAGCCACCCAGGCGCCCCTGTAAATAAGGAATTCTTGAAAGAAACTATTAAGAAAGCATTTACCCTTGAGGAGATGGTGATGACACCTAATGGTGAGGACAATTTGGTGATGTTGCCATTGATCTCTCTAACATGACCAATAGAATCTAGAAGCCCAATCAGTGGTATCCTTAGTCAAAGCATTGCCTCAAGCTTGGCAGGTGGTCATCATGCTTCTTGGGCCATGTCTGGCCTCCACCAGATTGAGCAGGAATGATCCAAGGTGAAGTGCTTAGAGTAGGATATTTTCAATTTGCAATGAAAGAAAAACAAGGGTAAGAAAAGCAAGGCAGAAGTTGATAGCCCACAAGTAAAAAAAAAGTTTTTGAAAAGGAAATTTACCCAAGAAGATGATCACATTGAAAAATCAAATCTCCTCAGGCAAAGCAGACCATATGCTACTAAAGGTCAGTTATTTCTCCTAAATCAGAGTTGTTGCAACCAGTTATTTGTTTTACAGTGAGTTCCTTGGTTTGTGTTTACAGATCCTTGTCTCTCTTTTATAGGGTGACTGCTAAAAGGGGAGGAAAAGGCAAAAATATCATTTTCTATGACCCACACCCGGGAATATTAAACAGTGCTTGGTTATTTAAATATGCTGTTTGTACTAATTTCAAAGTGCATTATCCTACCTCTCAGTTGATATTGAAAGACTTAGCCAAATGCTTAATGCCCAGAAAAACTATGTTAGACCTTAACAGCTATGGTTTAAAAATAAGTCATGTCAGAATTTTTTCAGTAGCTCTTGAATTAACTCTTCGTCATCCAGCATGATGTGAATAATGCCTAAAATAGTCCCTGAATTGTAAAGGAACTATTGATTAATGCAGAATAAATATTACAAATTTGCTTAGGTGGTTCTGAAGGGAGTTTAGACCTTTTAATAAGATTAACAAAAGACTAAGGCATTAAGGGTTCTGCAACCAGTTCCACTGTGGAAGGATAAGCATTCCCCACACTGACAAGCAGTGCTCTAACACCAACTGGGTATCCTGCAATTCAATTCTGATACTCTCTACCTGGAGACAATATCAGATCCCACAGGTTAAAAGCTCAGCCCCACAGGACTTCCCACCATCCCCTCCACTTCAGGTGCCAATTAATAATCTAGGTTGTCACCTGTGCTTCTGACCTACTGGCTATTAGTCAGATGTTCCCAGTGACCCCCTCCCGGGGTTCAATGAATTTGCTAGAACAGCTCACAGAACTCAGAGAAAATTTTACTTACTAGATCACTGGTTTACTATAAAAGGATATAACACAGGAACAGCCAGATGAAAGGGATGCATAGGGCAAGATATGGGGTAAGGCACAGAGCTTCCATGCCCTCTTCAAGCGCACCACTCTCCCCAAATCTCCATACCTTCACCAGCCCAGAATCGCTCTGAATCCAGTCCTTTTGGGTTTTTATGGAGACGTCATTAAAAGGCATGACTGATTAAATCGTTGGCCATTGGTAATTGATTCAACCTCCCACCCCTCTCCAGTGGGGGAGGGGACTGAAAAATCCAACACCAAACAAATGGATTGTCCTGGCAACCAGTCCCATTCTTAGGTGGGGTCCAGAAGTTGACTCATTTAACATAACAAAAGACACCTTTATGGCTCTCTTCACTTAGGAAATTTCAAGGGTTTTAGAGGATCCGGGCCATAAACAGGACTTTCTTATTATAAATCACAGTATGATAGGGACAAACCAGAAATTGGGATGACTAAGACAACTAAAGGCATTCCATGGTGAACCCCGCAAAGTCACAAATAACTCTCAGTTTGGAGAGTACCAAAATGCTGGGATAGGAACATCCAGGGAACTGGTACCTGTCAAGGGTGACTCTTCCTAAAAAGGAGTCAACAAATTAATAAGCTCCTACAGGACACAGACCTAGGTTCAGGGCTCTCTGACTCAGTAAGAAGCCAGGTTAATAGCATCGTATATTCACCAAATCAGATCCTATAATAGGGGCTTTACTTACCTCATACCATTTCATCCTCATAATACTTCTGCAAGGTAGGAATTATTTTCTCCACTTTAAAGAGAAAGGAGTCGAGAACCCAAGGGGTGAATTTGTCTGAGGTGACACAGCTTGTTAAGTGGCAGAGGTGGGGTTTGAACTTCGTTTGTATAGTGGTTAAGTCTGAATGCTTAAACCACCATGCATCCCAGAACCCCAGGAGGTCAGAGAGAGAGGAATCAAAGACTCAGGAGGGGTTAGAGGCCAAAGCCAAGACTAGAATGAATGCATCTGCTAGCTGACCTTTAAATATTTCAAGTTAAAGGTTGGGCTCTGATGATTTGTTCTGGATGACCAATACATTTGCCTTTTCATGCTTCTTCAGGCTCCCTTCAGCTAGATTCACATTCCCTAGTTTTCAGGATATGGTTCTCTCTCCCCTGGTTGGTCCAGGGACGGGACCTTTCTAAATTCCTTGTTAATCCCTGAATGTTAATCACCACCCTGTAAGGTCTATTGATAGCTGGCAGTTCCTATAAGATATACCCACTCCACCAACCCCAGTTGGAAACTTTGGCACACAGATGGGCCCCTGATTTCTCTGATTTCCTTTCCCTAGTTACCCCTTAACTCCATCCCTCCCGCCCCACCACTGGGGTAGGGTTAAGACCCAAGCAGGAGGTCACAGTATCCTGTAACAGCAGTAATGCTGTGGCTGAGCAAAAATTCCATTTCTAAGGAGACATTCTAATAATGGTAAGTTTAGAAACCCCTCATCCCTTTTTCTATGGTTTCAAAAGAGGCCACAAATCAGCCTTGTCAAACACGCATATAGATTTTATCTGTTAAGTGGCAGATAAAAGAGCAAGGACCCTTTTCAGATATTCAGGCTTGAGTGGAAATTTACACTGCTGACCTCCAGGCCATAGTTGAGAAAACATTTTCTCTGCCAGAAAATTCTAGCAGTCTCTCCTTCTCAGGTTCAGTTCATTGATTCAATGGATACACCAATACCTTTGCTTGGTACCTTTTTTTTTTTTGCTGACACCCAACACTTTACTACTGAGGAGGCTTGTTAGGGAGGGGGTGCTGGGATGGACAAAAGCGCCTAGCTCAGGGGATTTTTCTGGAAATTAGGTGTTCCTCCATGCAGATTTCGAGGAAACACCGTCATGGATGAAATCCCGAGGGCAGCGCTGCCAAGCATCAGGGGTAGGAGGGTTGTCTAGGCACTGCTGGGCCCCTGGGACAGCAGGGCTTCGATGTCAGGCTCAGTATCGATGGTTGCAAAGCGGTGGCTGTACCTGCGCACAGGCACACCATCTGGGCCCACCAGGAACTTCTCAAAGTTCCAGGCGATGTCGTTGCGGCACACGGGAGACCAGATGATGAACTTGGGGTCGGTCATGAGCGCAGTGGCGTCGTCACTGGGGGCAGGCAGGGACTCCCGCAGGAAGGCGAAGAGGGGGTGCGCCTGCGCGCCGTTCACCTCGCACTTCTCAAAAAGCGTGAAGTTGGGCTCGAACCCGCCGCCAGGTCGGACGTACTTGAGGGAATTCAGGATCTCTTCGTTCTTAGCGTTCTCCTGATGCCCGAACTGGTTGCCCGGGAAGCAGAGCACAACCAGGCCCCGGGGCCCGAGGCGCCGCTGCAGCTCGTTCATCTGGGTGTAGTCCCGGACCGTTGTGCCTCAAAGCGACGCCACATTCTCGATGAGCAGCACCTTGCCCCGCAGGGAACCCAGGCTCAGGGTCCAACCTGTCAGCTCCCTAGCTCCTCCTGGTTTTCCCAGAATGCCACATTTAGCTTAGGAAGTGCTTAATTGGTGCTTTAATATCAGCTTAGTACTCCCTCCATTATTTCTGAACCCTGACGGCCCCATCACATTTCTCCCCTTTAATGTTTAATGCAATGATGACTGTTACTGATTAGGACTAAATTTTACCCCAGGATGTCCAGGGAATAAATGTTTTTATTAAGAGTACAAGAGAGGGAAAGCCATTCTGAAAAATAGAAAAGATTCCTGTGATTTCTCTCTTGAGACTCATTGAGCAGAGAGCAGAGCTGGCTTGTGGTTATTATTTGATCAGCTAGAGCTAATCTGTGTTGATGCCTCCTGCCAAGTCCTACCATTTTGTGATTTCTCATCTACTAATACATAATGTATAGATCTGGATATAGGAAAATCAATTATCCTGCTTCAAGGAAGCAAAGCCAAACTAATGGAAACATTAGCCTAAGACTTCAGGAAAATTAGAGAATTGAAGACCCAGGTGTGGGTGTTTTATAAGTATGTGTGGGAACTTTCAAAGAGGAAGACAGAGAAGGGATCCAAAGAGCAAAGGAGGGGAAATAAGGGGCAAATTTTCATTGCTTGAGTCCAAAATAACCTGGCTGTTTTGTGTAGAGGACATCTGACTGTAATAACAAAGATTCATGTGAAACAACATCCAGATGATTCCCAGAACCTTGGCTTCCTTGTGTTAAATTATCAGATGCAGCAAGATACATATTTAGCTCTACTGAGACAAACTAAGGATCAGCATGAACATACACTGGAGAAATTATAAGTAACAGGTTGTTCTAGGGAAGATTGTCTGTGCCATGCTTGAATTCTTCAGTTCACAAGAAATCTGAAAATTGATGGCACAGACACAATGTCTTAATATCCATGGGGGGTTAGAAGATGTGAAATTGGATGGGGTTGGGGGTACACTTGAAGGCTGGCTTCAAGCACTGTGTGCTTGTGAAGCTAGTTTAAATCCATCTTTCTCCAGAGATTGATTTTTAAAACTTTTAAAACATACACTATGCCCTTTTAGTTACATGTAAAAATGTTACTGGATGTGTTGTTATTTTTCAGAAAATATGGATTTTTCTAGGTGAATTTAATCCAGAATTTTATGATTTAAGACACTTGTAAGAAGCAATTTTTTATACCACTAAGAATTCCTTGGATGGAGCTCAGTGCCTAGGATGTAGTACTTAAGAAGTGTTTAAATGGAAAGGTAAATGGGTGAGTAAATGAATAAAAGGTCTCATTTGCATTCAGCTAGAGCATTCTGTATGCATATGGGTGTACACCAGTAATAACTAAATATTTTTAAGAAGAGTAGGAGGACCCTAGGCTCACCTCGTCCAATGGATACAGCTAGATAACACTCACATCAATGTAAATAACCCAGAAAACAGCCTGAAGACTGACAGAATAAACTCCACAACTAAATGTAGACAAGAGGCCACATGGAAGAGCATAGGAAGGGCAGAGATCCGGTGGGGAACTAAACAGACTCCTGGGACTGCCTGCTGGAGGGAGGGACACTGTGGACATGGAAAGGGAAGAGAAACAGACCTCCACAGCGAGGAGCTTGCACAGGGAAGATGAATCCCCACAACATTTGGCTTTGGAGGCGAGAAGGGCCAAATTTTGTGAGTTCTTCAACCAGTAGCACTTAAAACCTGGAATTTTAAAAAATAGCAGGCTTGGCTCTGGGAGAGCTGGAAGGATGAGAGGAAACAGTCCCCACCCTTATAAAGAGATAGTCCACAAGAGTCCACAAAGATACAGCACAGAAGCAGCAGTTTTTTTTAAATTTTATTTTATTATGTTAATCACCATACATTACATTATTAGTTTTTGATGTAGTGTTCCATGATTCATTGTTTGCTTATAACACCCAGTGCTCCATTCAATATGTGCCCTCTTTAATACCCATCACCAGGCTAACCCATCCTCCATCCCCCTCCCCTCTAGAACCCTCAGTTTGTTTCTCACAGTCCATAGTTTCTCATGGTTTATCTCCCCCTCCAATTTCCCCCCTTCTTTCTTCCCCTCCTGCTATCTTCTTCTTTTTTTTTTTTTAACATATAATGTATTATTTGTTTCAGAGGTACAAATCTGTGATTCAACAGTCTTGCACAATTCACAGTGCTCACCATAGCACATACCCTCTCCAATGTCGATCACCCAACCACCCCATCCCTCCCACCCCCCACCACTCCAGCAACCCTCAGGTTGTTTCCTGAGATTAAGAATTCCTCATATCAGTGAGGTCATATGATACATGTCTTTCTCTGACTGACTTATTTCACTCAGCATAACACCCTCCAGTTCCATCCAAAAGTCGTTGCAAACGGCCAGATCTCATTCCTTTTGATGGCTGCATAATATTCCATTGTATATATACACCACATCTTCTTTATCCAGGCATACAGGAGGGATTGTTATTTACTCATCTCAGAGCCCACCAGAGGGGCAGAAATCACTGGGGAACTCCTCCAGGAACAAAGGAATTCACATGTGCCATTTCCCTCCCCCCACACCCCAGTACAAACACAGGGCTACCTGCAGGACTCCCTACCTAACTTGCTAGCACTGCTGCTCTGACCCCTCCTGACCCCACCCACATGTTGAACAAGACCCATCTATATGCTTCCTACAAGAGACCCATTTCAGACTAAAAGACACATGTTAATTGAAAGTGAAGGGATGGAAAAGCATTTATCATGCAAATGGATGTGAAAAGTCCAGGATAATAACAATACTTGTATTGGACAAAATAGACTTTAAACAAAGAAGGACACTATATAATCATTCAGGGGACAATGCAACAAGAATACATAACAATTGTCAGTGTTTATGCACCCAACATGGGAGCACCCAGATACCTAAAGCAGTTAATAACAAACATAAAGGAAATAATCAATAGTAATACAATAATAGTAGGGGACTTTAATACCCCACTTACATCAATGGACAGATCACCCAATCAGAAAATCAATAAACAAACAGTAGCTTTGAATGACATATTGAACGAGATGGGTTTAACAGATATATTCAGAATATTCCATCCTCAAACAGCAGAATACACATTCTTCTCAAGTACACATGGAATATTCTCCACAACAGATCACATATTAGGCCAAAGAACAAGTCTCAAGAAATTCAAAAAGATCAAAGTCATTCTATGCATCTTTTCTAACCATAACACTATGAAACTACAAATCAACCACAAGGAAAAAATCTGGAAAGAACACCAATACATGGAGGTTAAATAATATGCTACTAACAAAGAATGGGTCAACCAAGAAATTAGAGAAGAAATAAAAAAATACATGGAGAGAGATGAAAATGAAAACACAAGGGTCCAAAATCTTTGGGATGCAGCAAAAGTGTTTCTAAGAAGGATGTTTGTAGCAATATAGGCCTACCTCAAGAAGCAAGAAAAATCTCAAATAAACAACCTAACCATATAGCTAAAGGAGCTAGAAAAAGAAGAACAAACAAATCCAAAACCAGCAAAAGGAAAGAAATAATAAAAATTAGAGAAGAAATAAATTAAATGTTAAAAAATGAAATCTTGACATTTGCAATGACATGGATGGAGCTAAAGAGTATTATGCTAGACGAAATAAGTCAGTCAGAGAAAGACAAATACCATGTGACTTCACTTATATGTGAACGTCAAGAAACCAAACAAATGAGCAAAGGAAATAAAGAGAGGGGCAAACCAAGAAACAGATTCTCAACCATAGAGAACAAACTGAGGGGTACCAGAGGTGAGGTGGGTGGGAGGATGGGTTAAATAGGTGATGGGGATTGGGAGTACACTTGTGATGAGTACTGGATGTTGTATGAAAGTGTTGAATCACTAAATTGTACACCCCCTAATATTACACTGTATGTTAACTAACTAGGATTTATTTTTTTTAAAGATTTTATTTATTTGACAGGGAGAGAGAAAGAGCACAAGCAGGAGGAGTGGAATGGGGAGAAGAGGGTCCCTGCTGAGCAGGGAGCCTGATGTGGGGCTCAATCCCAGGACCCTGGGATCATGACCCAAGCCAAAGACAGATGCTTAATCGACTGAGCCATCCAGGTGCCCCAACTAACTAGAATTTAAATAAAAACTTAAAAAAAATTTTTTTAAAGCAATAGAATAGATCAATGAAACCAGAAGCTTCTTTCAAAAGATCAACAAAACTGATAAACCTTTAGCCAGACTCATCAAAAAAGAGAGGATTTAAATAAGCAAAATCAAAAATGAAAGAGGAGAAATAACAACCAATACCACAGAAATACAAACAATTTTAACAGAATATTATGAACATCTATATGCCAACAAATTGGACAACCTAAAAGAAATGGATAAATTCCTAGAAATATATAACCTACCAATATGGAAACAGGAAGAAAGAGAAAATTTGAACAAATTACCAGCAATAAAGTGAATCAGTAATCAAAACACTCTCAACAAACAAAAGTCCAGGACAAGATGGCTTCACAGGTGAATTCTACCAAACATCTAAAGGAGAGTTAATACCTATTCTTCTCAAACTATTCCAGAAAGTAGAAGAGGAAGGAAAACTTCTAGATTCATCCTATGAAGCCAGCATTACTCTGATACCAAAACCAGATAAAGACACCACTAAAAAAGAGAACTACAGGCCAATACTTCTCATGAATATAGATGCAAAATCCCTCAACAAAATAAAACCAAACTGAATCCAACAGTACATTAAAAAAATCATACACCACGATCAAGTGGGAATTTTTCCTGGGTTGCAAGAATGGTTCAATACCTGCAAAACGATCAAAGTGATACATCACATCAATAAGAGAAAGCCTAAAAACCATATGCTCATTTCAATAGATGCAGAAAAAGCATTTGACAAAGAACAACATCCATTCATGATAAAAACTCTCAAGAAAGTAGGTTTTGAGGGAACATACCTCAACATAATAAAGGCCATTTATGAAAAACCCACAGCCAACATCA